GTACATCCCGTAACCGAAGCAACCTTGGAAAATTGTGATACTTTTGAATAGCACAGCAAAAATGGATTAAAAATATTCAACCGCATAATTTTAGCTCAACCACAGCAGCACTGGGATAAAAAATTGTAAAAATTAACAACGTTAATTGGAAAAAAAGTGAAAAACGTACGATTTTGTTAGTTGGTTTGATGATGCTTAGCGAAAGGACTGCACTCCCCGCTATCCGTCGATTTTGAAAATCCACCACCCAATCTAGTGATATATGTTCCACTGTTGCTTCATTGATATTAGCACTAGAGGACGGATCGTACATGCCACAAACAGTGTGGTGCAGTAAAGTAATCCTGAAAAAGACCCATAAAGACCTGCAGGTTAAGCTAAAATAAATAGCGGCGTGCACCAGGGTAGCCGGTGCGATCATGCGTTTTGCGCAATTCTGTCCAGCGGACGTTTGTCTGCTAAAGTTTTCCAATGCTTTACACTTTCCTGTGTGGAAAAATAGTCGATATGTTGTCTGACTCCTAAGCTGACTAATTTTTCACCAAAAATTTGAAATGCCAGTATTTGAAAACAGAATTTGAAACCTTGGACGGGGAACATCCTCTCAAATTTCAACCTCCCAATTTTCCGCCTTCCGAGCTAGTGACTTTCGCATTTAAGCTCTCGCATGGTCGTACGTAAGACCCTGGCATAATTGGGAATTAAATTTGAGTTTGTGAGATATCTGCACAGGCAGAAAACATCCCCCTGAAATTCCAGCTTTAGTTTTCGAGATAATAATTTTCACCAACAAAACCTTCGCGTGGCCGCACAAGAGACCCAAACCCACATGAAGGCTGGATTTGATTCTGTGAGGTCACATTCTCCCAAAATTCCAGCTTCCCATCTTTTATGGCTTCCGAGATAATTTTTCCCACCGAAACTTTCACTGGGATATAACTGAGACCCAGGTTCGACAGAGAACTGATTTTGAATTTATAAGCCTCAAAAGGGCAGGAAAAACATTCTCGTTAATTTTCAGCTTCCTTGCTTTCATGGTTCTCAGAACAATTTTCCAGCCGAAACCTTCACAGGCTATACTTGGTAATCAAGCACATTGGGGAAGCTGAAAATTTTCTGGGTCGCACGTGGGCAAGGGACACAGCCACAAAATTTCAACTTTCTAGCTTCCATGATTCACGAGATAATTTTCACGGGACCGTACATGTTATTCACGGGTATGGGAAGGTTAAATTTAATTTTTCTGGGTCACAAATGGGTAGGGAGCATGTTTGTAAAATTTCAGCTACACAACTTTCGTGGTTCCTGAGATAATAATTTTCTCCGCCAAAACTTTCACGGGGTCGTACGTGTCACTCACGGGTGCGGGAAGGCTGAACTTAAATTTGCGGGGTCGCACCTGAGCAGGGAGCAATCCGCAAAAATTTCGACCGTCTAGTTTTTGTGGTCCTCGAGCTGAAAGTCCAAAACAAAACGCACTTGAACAAACACTCACACAGACAACTCCGTGACAATATGCGTTTTGTGCTGTTGTTACACAGCGCAAAATGCATAAAAAATATTTGGAAAACAGCAAATTAAGGTCAAAACCCTCTGTGAGGGATGAAAACAACCGGAAGTAGCCCGTGTGGTAGCGTGTGCCAACAGTAGCTTTCGCCGGTAAAGTTACTGGACGAGCCGGACATCAAATATTTCTTTTTAATTTTTCCCTTTTCATTTTTGTCGCAGACTTATCGAAAAACTAATTTCCTTTTTTTATTCAAAAAACTCATATTTGTTTTTCGAGGAGGCTGCTGCGTGCCCCAGTGGTAAGTAGACTGCCCTCACGTTGAAGGTTGTGGGCTCGACTTCACTTGTTGTATAATCAATCTCCCTACGACTCATTCATCCGTAGCGAAACTGGTATTGGCACACAATACGCATCTTTATCTTTAGCTTACTTCCAAGCAATCCTCGAAAGAAGCCATCAATATCTTTGTTGACAGCTGATTGTTGTTGCATGTGAGCTCTTCAATTGGGACTACTTCATGGTGTCTCCGCCTCTCATAGAGAGTGAATACAAAGAGAGTTTTGACTTTTGACGAAAATAGGAGCATTCGAAAACAGCCTAAGTAATGACATGATTTTAATACCAACTGTTTACTAACAAAACTATTAATGTTCCCTTTTGGTCCAATGATGTTTAATTAAGCACTATAAAAAATTCTAAGTGCAATTTTTTCTGCATCGACCAAAGCCTATTTTACGGCAGTATGCGAAACCCAGAAATTAACATTTTTCGAAGTGAGGCGTCTGCCTAAGTTGCTTAACAAGGAAATATTCTTTTTTTTTTTCGATATTTTCTAAATATTCCCATGAATCACTTTTTTTTTCACTTTGTTCCGTCGTGCAGTAATGCCAAAACATTGAATTTGTGTGTTGTTTGCCTGCCGACCTTATTATACCCAAGAGAAACTCTCTAGCCAAATTGTGTTTTAAGTAATGCCTGCTTTATATATATTTATGTGAATGATACTGTGGCTAAATTGCAAAATAAAATCTTCCGGCCGTAAGCATATTAAAAATCAACAGTATTCCTTAAAAATTCTGAAACAGTTTTGGTGTTCAGCTGATGGACAACAGATAATTTGCGAAGGAACAAGCAAGAAATCATAGCCGAGATGTTTTGAAAAATGCTCAAACAAACTTGCGAACTTCCTCTCATTCAAAAATTTCAATTCATTTTTTGAATTCAAAATTTCTTATATTTTCCGAACAGATGAGGTTTCGAATGTGTCAAAGTGTTACAGGAATTTGAATTCCCCTCTACACTTCAATGAACAGCAATAGTTCATTTAATTTCATTCATCCCAGAATAACAACTTCACGGGAAAGGAAAACAGAGCAACAGGAAACACAGATAATGTGGTATAAACTTGAAGCAAACAGAACAAAAAGTGAATCCGAAAAAAAGTGACTGCTGAAAAAAAAGGAAGGCGCCAAACTGACAAATTTCAAGGACTCCCTCCCCTTCTGTTAGAACCTGAGCATAAACGAAAAAATTTGAAATCAGCTGACACGAATTCAGATAGGGAAGTTCGAAATACTGAAACCCAGGCCGGAACGCACCAGGCCTGTCGGTGCGATCATGCGCTTTTGCACTAAACTCGCAGATCGATAACAGCTGGAATGATTCCTACCCTGTAACTCAAAACCTGGGCTCATATTGGCCGTGCTCTAGCCTTTTCCGGCATGCAAGAGAAAGGGCGTCGCTTGAGATGAAGGTCTTGCATTACACGGTCGCATGGACCTCCAGGTACATGATTACCAGTTTCTTGCATGAAGCCCGGTCGTTTTTTCGGTAAATGCTCACTTTTTGAAAAAATGCAAATTTTCAGTCCACTAAAAAGTGGAAATGTTGCTAAAGCGGTCGTTCGACAAAAAATCCAAATATGCAAATGAACTGGATGTTTATTTATATATTTGGATAAGGGCAGTTGTTCGCTACAAAACGTACTCATTTCTGATTTTTCGGTAAAATCGAGTATTTCTCATGCCCACCTGCAGGGAATTTCACCTCCAAGAAAAGTTAAGACCGCACTTGAAAACAGAATATCTCAACGAATTTTGAACCTCACACCTTATCCGGTAAGCGAAATACCCATTTCCCTGCAAATATCTTTGAAGTACCCTGAGTCGTGGCGCAAGTGCAAATCGGTACTCATTTTAGGCATACAATTTCCTGCATGGACGATAAATACTCTGACAAAATTTTGGCCATTGTTTTCCGGCTAGTTTTCAAGCTGACACAGTGCCAAGTGCAAACTTTGACGTGGTCGTACGCGCCTCACAAACGTGCGCGACAGCTGAATTTGAAATCTTCAGCTCGCACATGAACAGAGAGTATTCTTGCAAATTTTCAGCTTTGTACTTATCCTGTTTCGCGAAATTGTTTCCCGCCAAAGAAATCTGCACATCTTTCTTTTGGGGAGAGAAGGGAGGTGTCCGTATGTGGGGTCTAGGCGCGTATGAGCGAAAATTTTAATTCGAGAGAATGACACACTGGGTAGGAACATATATCCAAAATTTCAGCCTCCCAACTTTCCTAGTTGCTGAGATGTTAGTGGGTGCACTCACAAAATGCACTCGCTTCCGAACACACACACACACAGACAGCCTCTCGACAATATACCTTTTTGCTGGCTGTAGCAATGCTATAGCCAGCAAAAACGCTACACAGCAAAAATTCATAAAAACGAACAATGTTTTATACAAATGGGATGTAAGACAAATCGAAATGCATAATTAACGAGACTATCAAATGAGTTCTTTCCTCATGTTTTAAATTGTCAAAATCTTAAACAATAAAAAATAGCATTGAGAGACAAAATTTCATAGAGATCCCAAGTACATATGTAAATATTAAAAAAAATCTCCACAAAATTGAACAATTCTGGCCTTTACCGTAAGGATTTTACTATTTTGAGAAGCCTTCCCCGCAAATAACAAGGATAACGTGAATAACGAACTGGCAATGACGGAATGATTTCGTGTTGACGAAGCAAATGGAGATCCAAGAAAATAGAAAAAAGACTAGAATGATGTTATCACATTGCAAGCCATGCTACATTTACAATGAATTGACGAAGCAATTCTTATCAACTGATGTGGTCTGCATGTAAACGGGCACCACAACCACTGCAATACACTGGCAGGAGACAAAGCTTACGATGGGAAAAGTGACACTCTAGCAGCTATTTTGTAAACAGAAATGACCGGGGATTATTTTTGAATGAAATTTCAATGATATTTACTGTTGAATTTCCACTAGAACTTTCACGTACTCGCACATGACAGTTGGACGTTTGGAAATGGGTACCACATTTCCAGAGTAAGACTTGGCCAGGAAAATCACTGGCAAAACTTCAGCATCGAAGCTTATCTGGTTAACGAGTTGAAGTACTCGGACAGACACACACATATACATATATGGAGAAATACACGAGCACACACACATATGCACACGCCATGGATATCATCACAGTGCATTTTTGCACCCGCATAAATAAGCAAAAACGCACAATAAAGCACATTTTTATGAAAAAAAATGGTTATAATTTTAAACGGTAATAAAAAGGGATAAATTTAAAAATAATAAAAAGGCACA